AGAGCGCGCGGAGCATCCCGCGGATCCGCCGCGTCCGGAGCCGCTCCCGTGGGAGAGCGCGCGGAGCATCCCGCGGATCCGCCGCGTCCGGAGCCAGCGCTGCTCCCGCGGGACAGTGCACGGAGCATCCCATGGATCTGCTGCACCCGGAGGCAGTGCCACTCCATGGGACAGTGTACAGAGCATCCTGAGGATCTACCGCACCCGGAGCCAATGCCACTCCCGCGGGACAGCGCATGGAGCATCCCGCGGATCCACCATGTCCGGAGCCAGTGCTGCTCCCATGGGAGAGCACAAGGAGCATCCCATGGATCTGCTGCACTCGGAGCCAGCACCACTCCCGTGGAACAGCATGTGGAGCATCCCGTGGACCTGCTGCATCCAGAGCCCACGCCGCTCCCGTGGGACAGTGCATGGAGCATCCCGCTAACCCACCGTGCTGGAGCCAGTGCCGCTCCCGCTGCATTCCTCCCAGCACATCCGAGCATCCCTCCCGCTCCCTTGCAGCCCTCGCACCATAAATCAGGAGGTGCCACGCGGGGGCGTGAGGGGGGGCCACATGCACAAATTACCCAGATGAATTTGCCAAATAAATACATTTGAGTGAAACAATTAATGGATTCGGTTGTTTTCCCTTTTTTTTCCCCCTTGCTTTACAAGCCTCGGAGGAAGGTGCAAAGGAAAATAAATAAGCGGAGCAAATGAAGTCAGCGCACGGGCAGCAGGCGGAGGGAGCCGCTCCGGCTCCGGCGCTGCCTCCTGGCTCCCGCCGCCCCCAGCTTCCCGCTCGGAATCGCGGTGCCGGCGCCTCCCCCGTACCTGTCTGGGCCATGTAGATGCCGGGCTCGTCTGCCGAGCGGGGCCACTGGGTTTTCACCTTCTGGTTCTCCTCGGCCCCATCGCCTGCAAGGGACGGGAGGCTGCGGTGAGGGGCTGCAGGAGCCCGTGTGGTGGCTTCTCTGGTGTCTAGAGGAGGCTGAGCAGCTCCAGCAGCACCCGCCTCTGCGGGACACTCTTGCAACCCCCTTAATAGCATCACAGCTGGATTTTTACCAGTGCTCCCTGCTGAAACAGGAGACGGAGCAGGGGGCAAGAGAAGGCCCATTGTTTTATCCCAACGTGCCTGTATCGCCACTACATGTGGAGTTCCTGCATCCCTGCAACCCCGCTGCACCCAGAGGTACCGGCATCCCTGCTGCATCCAAGGGTGCCTGCATCCCCACTGCATCCCGGTGTGCTGCACCCGAGGGTACCTGCATTCCTGCTGCATCCCAAGATGCTGCATCCAAGGGTACCCACATTCCTGCTGCATCCCAAAATGCTGCATCCAAGGGTACCCACATTCCTGCTGCATGCTGGGGTGCTGCACCTGAGGGTACCCACATTCCAGCTGCATCCCGGGGTGCTGCATCCCACTGCACCCAAGGGTATCCGCATTCCTGCCACATCCTAGGGTGCTACACTCGAGGGTACCCGCATTCCCGCTGCATTCTGGGGTACTGCACCCTAGGGTACCCGCATTCCCACTGCATCCCGGGATGCTGCAGCCCCGCTGCACCCACATCCCCAGCCGCGCGGCGGGGCTCCCCCTTCCCCGCTTTGCCACGCGCTGCAGCGAGGTGGCACAAATTGATGGCTCGGCTCACCAAAAATAACAAGAGATCCATCACGAGCGCTCGCCGTGAAATTAGCTGGCACGGAGGGCTCGCCGAGCGGCGCGCTCCGACCCGGCGCCCGCGCTCCCGCCCCATGGCACAGCCCGCGCGGGCGCCCTCCGCCTCGAGGATACAGGAGGGTGCTCTGCCCAGCCGCGCTCCGCAGGCACCGCATCAGCTCCCTTTGGAGAGCACTAAATGGTGGCCATGGGTGCAGGACTCCCGCGCCGGGTGCTGCCCGTGGCGCCTCGGCAAGGAGCAGCTTCCCGGCGAGCGCGGGAGCGAGGCAGGAGCCGGGCTCGGGGCGCTGCAGGAGCCGAGCGAGCGCCGTGCACCCGGAGCAGGGCGCGGGCGCGCAGGGCAGCGCCTGCAGCTCGCAGCCCCGCTGAGATCAGCGCTGGGCGCCCGCCAAGGCTGCCGTCACAGGCCCCGCATTCACCCGCCGGGCGCCCTCAAAGGAGCCCATTCTTGCGGCGCCGGGGCGCTGGGCGGGCGCCAGCCGGGCGCAGGGTCCCCCCGGAGCCATCAAGGGCGCTCTGTGCTCCGGAGCATCCCCGGTGCCACCGCGCGCTCCGGTTGCAGGAGGGGTGGCCGGTGCCACGGGTGCTGCCAGGCCCTGGGTGCCAGCGTGGGTGCCAAGGCAGCCGCTCACTCCCTCTCTGCAATAACATTTCACCTCCGGGTGCCTCCGGGTTTTAATGGAGTGTCAAACGTAATTTGAGGAAGGAGACAGAGCGCCGGCGCTTGCCCTTGCAGGCGGGAGCACATGCCAGGGCCCTGGGCACCGGCGGCCCCTTCCCGGCCCATTCCATTGGTCTCCGGGCGGGTGCCCGCAGCAGAACCCGACCCAGGCCCTGAGCTCTTAATCCTCCACAGAGAGCTGCATTTAAAGGGGGAAAAAAAAAAAAAAATCCCATGGAGTTGCTCCCCTCGGGATGAGGCGATTTGTGAGCGCACAGCGGAAACGCACCGGGGATTTAGCCAGGAGGATCTGCCCATAATGACAGTTAGCTCCTGATATAAACGCTAAAGCCCAATAAAATCATATATATATATGCACAGAGCCCAAGAGCACCGTCTAATCGGCTGAGGCCCGGATAAAAGCAGTGCCTCGCAGAAGTTGTTGGCCGAGGACAACCCCTGGCCAGCTGTGGCCCCACAGCAAGCACAACAGCACGATTCTCACTCAAGGCCCTTGCAGTTTAGTAAAGAGCAAGTGGCCTCATTCCGGTTAGTTAATAGCCCGGCCGCGGCGTGCCACTGTGCCGTGACATCCTGCCTGGAATGACAAGCGCCCGGGCTGCAGCAGTCAAGGGTAATTTGCCACGGGGAAGGGTCATTTTACCTGCAGATTGTTTTGCACGGCTCTGCCAACGCAGAGCGACCGGGCTGCGGGCTGGCAGCGCGGCTGAGGAGCCGGGGCCGGCGCGGCGGGAGGCGGCGCTGCCGGAGCGCGGCCGCGCGGGAAGGAGGGCAGGGAGCAAGCGGCGGCTCCGCGGCCGGCACGAGGCTCGCCCTGCGCGCCCGCCACGCACACCTACAGGTACAGCTGCCCCTGCTGCTGCAAGCTCCGGGCACGCTTATTGCACTGCTCCACTCGGTGCTGCTCATCCATGCACACCTATCGGCACACTTCCACACACTGCCAGCTCCCTGCACACCTATTTACACCCCTCCACCTGGCCCTGCTCGCTCCATGCACACCTATCGGCACATTTCCACAAACTACAAGCTCCATGCACACCTATCGGCACACTTCCACACACTGCCAGCTCCCTGCACACCTATTTACATCCCTCCACCCAGCCCTGCTCGCTCCATGCACACCTATCAGCACACTTCAAGCTCCCTGCACACCTATTTACACCCCTCCACCCGGCCCCGCTCGCTCCATGCACACCTATCACCACACTTCCACACACTGCAAGCTCCATGCCCACCTCTCTACCCCTGCTGCTCTCTGCACCTGCTGCAAGCTCCTATTATTTGCATGCCTATTTTCACCTGCGCACCTGCAGCTGCTTGCTCCACGCACACCCATTTGTACCCCTCCACTTGGAACCACTTGCTCCATGCATGCTTATCTGCACCCTTCCACTTGGAACCACTTGCTCCATGAATGCTTATCTGCACCCTCCCACTTGGAACCACTTGCTCCATGCACGCCTACCTGCATCCCTCCACCCAGTGCCACTCGCTCCATGCCCGCTTATCCGTACCCCTCCACCCGGTGCCGCTTGCTCCATGCACCTGCGGCACCGCTCGTGCCGCGCACCTCTCCATCCCCTGCAAGCTTCACGCGTGCCTCTCCTGCAAACCTGCCCTCCTCGCACCCGCGCTGCACTCACCGCGCTCGCCCTGGGGCGCGTAGAGCTCGTCGGCCCCCGCGGCGCCGGGG